GGGAAGCAATTAGAAGCGCTGTATTTTGCGGGGCTAATCAATTCCATTTATTCGTTCTCAGTTTACCTGGACAAGTACTCTTGGATCATTGTTCTGAGTTTTCAAATAACATGTACGTGTTCATTCTATACAAATATAAATAATAAATTATTCTAACAAGTATTAATATAACGATATTATAACAGATACAATTCTATATGGTATAGAGTACCTGTGCGAATTCAAAAAGTACTTTACGTAATGCAAATAAGAAGTAAGAAATTATGTACGTTGTCGGCAGGTGGATTGTATGAAATGAACATAGAAAATTTCGGAATAGTACGTATATAATATAAAGCTAATATAGTTGTATTATATCAATTATTACTTACAATCATTTTCTTTTCAAGACCTTTAAAACGTGCATGTCGTATTTCACAATGATAATGTCGCTGAAATAATGAGTCTGCGTTATCTATATCGAAAATATATTAAATATATTATATTTTCTATAAAGTAAATAAAGATGTGAATAATAGTAGTATATAGTACATAGTTATTATATCTATTGTTAAATAATATAAACGACTTTATCAAACATATAAATAAAACAAAATGCTATAATATTTCAATGTATAAAAAAGATTATATATTACCATAAGAAAATCATATCAAAATAACGAATTGATCAACATTTCATAGAATTCATTTCACTTATAATGAACTGAAAATAGAATTTTCAAATTTTATCGAGAAGAAATGATAGTTTTAGAAATACTTTTGTAAAATTATCTATACTATCCACATTTTGCAAATAACAATGTTCGACTGAATCCAACAAAGAGAACTCATATTTCGGAAGTCGAATAAATTAGTATTATTGGAACACTATTACTTAGAGATAATTTTTAGAATTTAATAATTTTCAATACACAATAATTTGAAAATCTTTTGTCTATCACCGAATGTTTAGCGAATGCCATATTGCAGCCATGGGAATCAATATTTCAGGATAATCATAGATGTTCGATTTTCAACATAAGTGGCAGGTGTCAATACAACCGTAGAATTATCATTTTCTTATCTATAATACAATTGTCGCACAATGTCGATTAATTTAAATATGCAATGATATATACCTGTCGTATAAAGAAACGAATCGAAGTTATACTTAAAAATTATATATTCGTTAGATACATAGAATATCATCAAATGTCGAGTTTAATTGCATTTATCAGATTGATTTCTTCCATTCTGGAAGGAAGAAGATTCATCCTTTTAAAACGACGATTGTTTCTACAATAGTTATAATACTGGGAATATGGATAGTAAGAGGAACAGATATAATTTATATTATTTAAAATATTTAACTTTTTATAAATTAAAAATATATTAATATTATTTATCATTTTTTGTCGTTGTATTTAAAATAGTTCGGCAAAGAGTAACTTTTATGATATGAATTTAAATTTAAGTTACTCAGTATTTCAGAAAACCGAAAGACAGTATCCCGAAATATTTAATATTCCTTACTATAAAATGGTCGAGAAATACTTTCAACTTTTGGGACAAGATCCACGTCAAAAAAGTAAATTCAGAAATTGTATAGTAACAGTGGTGGTGATTAGTATTTCAAGCAATATTGTTCCAACGGTAAGAAAATCTTTTATAAAAATGAGAAAACTAAAGCAAATGAATTCTATGTAATAAAATAAAGATAAAACAATTGAAACTTGTAATTGTCATTAGTCAATAGAGTTATATACATCGTTATGTGACAAGAATATGGACGCAGTGATCGAGGGTCTACCACACTTTATCGCAGCTACCATTAGTGCCGTTAAAATATTAAATATATATTTCTATAGAGAAAACGTAAGTAATTTTTTAAATATACAAAAGAATTTTTTTTGGAATAATACATTTTTTCTAGTTTGACAAATTATTTCAATTTGTGGCAAATGAATGGGACAAGCTGAAATTAAATAATGAATTGCATATTCTTGATAACACTATTGTACAAGGAAACAAAATGGCGCAATTATACCGAAGTATATTATAGTTTTCTAGATTTTTAATTTGTCAATTGTGCCAGAATCAAATTTATTTAGATTAATTATTAAGATTAATTATTTAGTTTCTAAAAAGTTAGACTTTTCATTCCGAGATTTCTTACAATGTTGATCAATTTAACTTCTGATTAGCACAATTATTAAATAATTATAATAATCATCAAATATATTTTTTAGGTGCATTATTAACAGCTCTGGTATTGTTCCTACTGATTCCATTACTTTCTCCCATATTAGACATCGTTCTTCCATTAAATGAAACTCGACCACGACAACAACTGCTCAAAGTTAATTATTTATTTTTTAACGATGATAATTATTTTTTCTATGTATATTTGCAACTTGCTTGGGGATCAATCATGGTTGTAGTAACCATAGTTGCCGTAGATTCATTGTTGATTCTTATAATTCACCATTGCAGCGGATTATTTACTGTTTGCGGGTAAATATAATCGAACTGTAAAAAAATATACAAATACATAAATAATTTAATATTTCTCATTATAAATACATTGTATGGTTATTTTTAAGATATCAAGTACAAAAAATAACAGAAAATACAAAATCACTCAATGAAATTGTTTCAAATAATTACACATACGAACAAATCAGGAATTGTGTGATCACTCACGATGAAGCTATCCAGTTTGTATTTATCAAATAACAATAAAATACATATTTCAAATAATTATAATAACTAATTCATTCATGCGTTAAATTTTGAGGTTTTATAATATTCTGAATGAAAGCAATCGAAATCGTTATCTTATTCCAGTTGGGTTAAATATGTTGGCCATAAGCGCGACAGCTGTCCAAGTAAAAAGCAATTTAATCAACAAAATCAAAGAATTAGAAAAGCTTATCAACATACGTACAATATTTTACAGGCAGTTGTAAATTTGGATAGACCAGAGGAAGCAATTAGAAGCGCTGTATTTTGCGGGGCTAATCAATTCCATTTATTCGTACTCAGTTTACCTGGACAAGTACTCTTGGATCATTGCTCTGAGTTTTCAAATAACATGTATGTGTTCATTCTATGCAAATATAAATAATAAATTATTCTAACAAGTACTAATGTAACGATATTATAACAGATACAATTCTATATGGTATAGAGTACCTGTACGAATTCAAAAAGTACTTTACGTAATGCAAATAAGGAGTAAGAAATTATGTACGTTGTCGGCAGGTGGATTGTATGAAATGAATATAGAAAATTTCGGAATAGTACGTATGAATATAAAGCTAATATAGTTGTATTACATCAATTATTACTTACAATTATTTTCTTTTCAAGACCTTTAAAACGTGTATGTCGTATTTCACAATGATAATGTCGCTGAAATAATAATTCTACGTTATCCATATCGAAAATATATTATGATATAAATATATTATATTTTCTATAAAGTAAATAAGGATGTGAATAGTAATAAATATAATTAATAATGTTGCAAAGAAAAATGTTGCTTGAAATTACCTGAAGAATTTCCAATCTTCAAATTTTTGGGATAACATGTTGATCTTACCAAAATAATTATCATTCCACAAAATTTTTTCATTCCACTAATAAAGTATCACAAATAAAGTTATAAAATTTTAGCAAAAAGAAATGATACAAGAACATGAATGCAGATAAATATATTTTACAAATATTTTTGTAAAACTGTTTATATTATCCATATTTTGCAAATAACAATGTTCCACTGATTTTGACAAAGAGAGTCCACATTTGGAAGTAAAAAAAATTAATATTATTGGAAATACACTGCAAGCAGAGATACAATGATTTTTTTTTTTTTAGAATTTAATAATTTCAGTACACAGTAATTTGAAAATCTTTTTGTCTGTTACCAAATTGTTTGACGAATGCCATATTGTGTAGCGCAGCCATAGTAATCAATATTTCAGGATAATCATAGATGTTCGATTTTCAGTATAAGTGGCAGGCGTCAATATAACTGTAGAGAACTATTATTTTCTTATCTACGATACAATTATGCACAACGTCAATTAATTTAAATGGGCAATGATGCATACTTGTCGTATAAGATTCGAAATTATGCTTAATAAACAGTATGGTTACACACATCGACTTATACATCATCAAATGTCTAGTATAATTGCATTCATCAAATTGATTTCTTCCATTTCGAAAAGAAGGACATTCATCCTCTTGATACGATTACCGCTTCTATATCAATTACATATCTGAAAATATGGACAGTAAGAAAAAAAGATAATTTATATCTAGAAAAGATTAAAATATTTATTTTTTTATAAATTAAAACTTTTACCTTTATATTAATATTATATTATATTAATATTAATCAATCATTTTTTTCAATTTCATTTGAAATATGTCAACAAACTAAATAAATTTTAAAAATTTATTTAAATTTAGTTATTCAGTATTTCAGAAGACCAGAAACAAATGTATCAATATATTTGATATTCCTTATTATAAATTGCTCGAGAAATATATGAAATTTTTGGGACAAGATCCACGCCAAAGAGATGGATTCAGAAATATTATTGTAATTACAATGGTGACTAGTATTTCTGGTATTCTTATTCCAACGGTAAGAATGTTATATTGAATATTTTAGAAATATTTCTTAGGTGAAACATAAAAATTGAATGAATTCTATAAAATAAAGTAAGTAATCAGATAATATTGTTAAACGATATCGGGACCTGGAATTCATTAGTCATTAGAATTATACACATCATTATGTGATAAAAATATGGATGCAGTGATCGAGTGTCTACCCCATTTGATCGCGGCTGCAACAAGTGTTGTTAAACTTTTGAATATTCATTTCAACAGAGAAAATGTATGTGAAATTAATATCATTCAACTTAATTTTTTTTAAGTATAAAAATTCATATCTTAACTAGACAAACATCTATTGCGTTATAGTTTAAAAAATTATTTGAATTTATAATAAAAGAATGGGAAAAGTTTGAATTAAATAATCAATTTCATGTTCTTGAAGAAATTACCATAAAAGGTAGTAAAATGGCACAGTTGTATCGAAGTAAGTTTTTGCATCTTAATTTTTTCCTCTCTTGATTCTTAATTATTTCTTAATTATTAATTTAGAAAAAAAATTAGCAAACAAGTGAATCAATCTTTTATCCTTTATCTTTTCAGATACATTATTATCCTTTATGGTATTATTTTTACTCGTACCATTAATTTTTCCTCTTCTGGATATTATTCATCCATTAAACGAAACTCGGCCGAGACAGCAATTATTTAGAGTTAATTATTTGATATTTAACCATAATGATTACTTTTTTTACATATATTTGCAGTTAGCTTGGGGATCTATCATTGTTGTGATGATCATAGTTACTATAGATTCGTTGTACATGATTATAATTCATCACAGCAGCGGAATGTTTGCGATGTGTGGGTAAATATCGTAATATTCACTAATTTCTATTTAAATTTATATTTACTTTTTCTAAATCTTATTATACATCTACAGGTATAAAGTTCAAGAAGCGACCAGATATCCAAATCTATTCAATGATAGAATTATTTCAGAAAATTACACGTATGAACAGCTTAAAAATTGCATAACTATTCACGATAAAGCCCTTCAGTTTGTATTCTTCAAATTTTACATAATTCATATTAATTAATATATTATCAAATACTTTTTCTTAAACATGACTAATTAGTTTTTTTCTCATATTTTGAGATTTTACAATATTCTGAACGAAAGCAGTCGAAATAGTTATTTAATTCAAGTTGGATTAAATATGATGGGTATAAGCGTAACAGCAGTCCAAGTAAAGAAAAAAATCTAAAAAGAACGAAAAGAGATCAAAGAATAAGAAAAAAATCTTATCTAATGGATAATTTTATTTTTCAGACAGTCGTAAATCTAGATAAACCGGAAGAAGCGATTAGAACTGCTGTATTTCTTGGAGCTGAACAATTTCATTTGTTTGTAATCAGCTTACCTGGACAGGTACTTCTGGATCATTGTACAGAATTGGCAAATAATATGTATGTATTTAACGTTTATATGTACAATTATAAACTCGTATATGTATAATCTTTTTTTTTTTTTTTTTTTT